CCCCAAAACCCCAAAACCCCAAAACCCCAAAACCCCAAAACCCCATTTTTTGGGTACAAATTGAGTCAGAAGCAATTAAAATTATTGAGACTCAGATTTTGGTTGTTTTTGGATTTCTCTGAGCTTCTCATCTATCATTTCATGGAGCCAGACATCATGGCCGAGGTTGATCTTCTCTACATAATCTAGGGCTACTTCTCCATATATTCCATGGCCTAATTCGACAGCGTTTTTAGCATCTTTTTGTCCAACTTCGAAGCATTTGTCTACAGTCTTTTGGTCGAAATCCAGTGGGAGGAATGAATCTGACAAGCTCTCTGAAGGAACAATCAAATATCTGAAATTTACATCAGGGAAAAGAGCGAGTGATGAATTGTAATCGTTCATTCCATTGTAGAAACTTGAGATTTCATGTCCTCTCAGGAGATGTTGCATAGTGCTATATTTATGGAGATTGTCCACCTCCTTAATTCTGTGATTTCCGCACAGCACCATATCTACAATAATATCTTTATCATCATCTACGATTTCCTTACACCTTCTGATAGCTGAAGGAATGTCGATGTTCCAAATAACTCCTCCATCAACTAGCTCATATTCTCCTCTAGTTACATGAGGAAAGACGGCCGGGATAGATGAGGAAGCAAATGCTGAATCGAGCCAGTCAGCTGGTTGATCATATGTAGCATTGTAGTCCCAAACTTTATAGGTAGCGCCATTAGCATCTACTGTAGCAAAGGATGCTTTTCTTTTGATAACTCTGTCTCCTAAATTATCTGCTACCCACACTCTTCCTGGGTTCAAATCGAAAATCCCCTTTTTGAAGAAGAGACCTTGAAGAATACCTCCTGGCCAGTTGCCGAAAGCCTTATAATCAGGAATACTAGCCCACAGTCCATAAATGAATTCAGTGGCTTCTTCAACTTCTTCTGGGGAGAAGGCAGATAGTCCGAGTGTGTTTAGAGATCCAGCTGACACTCCAGTTAGCACATCATACTGTACTTCTTCCTTAGGCAAACTATTGACAAGTCCCACGTAAACTGCAGCTTCGTAGGCACCTTTATCTCCTCCTCCAGAGAGGGCTAATGCTCTACATTTCCTTGCCTCAGCGTTGTAGGAAAGTAGTAAAATTACCAAAACTATAAGAAGGCTTTTCATATTGTCTGACCTATCCTAATGAATATTATATATAAAATTTCCAATATTACTATTGCCTAGGGGTTTTGGGGTTTTGGGGTTTTGGGGTTTTGGGGTTTTGGGG